GCGATATATATATATATATATATATATATATATATATATATATATATCGATCGATCGATCAACAAACTCGTCGCTTTTTAATTGCGCCGTAGACACTTTAATCCCTCGCGCTCCATCGAGCGATCCTTTTCACGTATTTGCGGCTGCTGGATCGGCCGGTCGAACGGCGCGCCGAACGAGCAACGAACGCGAGCGGAGAGATCGATATACGTTCGCGAACAGTCGATGACGAGGTTTTCCTCGAATATCCGTGTTCTATCGCGGCGTTTTAATCATTTAAACGGGGCACGCCGGTCGATACCAGCTTTATATTCTTTTTCCTAGAATCCGCGCCAGGGGGTCTGGTTATGTCACTGATTAGGGTTCGCAGTCACCGAGTTGCACACATAGCTCCCCACGCCGCTAAGGGTTGAAACAATACCAAGTGGGGGAAGGTCCATGACCCTGTGCACCCGGTGCAACTTCCGTTCCGCATCGTCGCTTGGCTACCCCGGACGCGTGCAACGCGAGAAAACGAGAAAATAAACCACCCTCCCCGCTCCCTCTCCTCGCGTCTCTGTCTTTTCCTATCCCGTAATGAACGGAACAGAGACGGAGATTGACAGAGATGAACGGAAAGAGAGAGAGAGAGAGAGAAAGGGAGAGCGCTCTCGTCGAAGGAATTTTAATTTTTCTTCCAGCATAATCGCGGCTGCGCTTTTGTTACCGTACCAGTTGTTTTCGTTCGATCCGTAAGCAACCGACAGGGAATTTCGAATGAAAAGGTATATCTCGATACCGGCAATTTTTCATCGCTTCCCAGGAGATGCGCGAGAGAAGAAGCGAGACAGAGGCGGAGAGAAAGAAAGAAACCGATACGAGGAAGAGGGAGAGAGAGAAAAGGAAAAAGAATGAGTCGAAGCGGGGAACGGTCTGCTAGTCCGTTGAACGGAAGCGCCCCCGCGTTATTCGAACCGGTAAGTAGTCTTTTTTTCCCTCGTCTTTTCTTCGAACAGCTCTCCTTTGTTATCGTTCGAGGCGATTAACCTTGGTTCGGGACAGAACGAACGAGATACTATCGCGAAACGAGACGATACGCGAAATCCTGCGATAAGAAGGGAAAAAGACGCGCATAAAGAGAGACACATTGGGAAATAGATTGGATCAGCGTTGCAGACTCACCGAGCTGGACGTACATCTTCGGCCTGATGTTTTCCTGCCAGGCCGCGAGGGCGATGGTGACCGTGGCGACGAAGCACCAGCAGGACAGGACGGGGTGCATCCTCGTTTCCAAGATGGTACACCTCATCTTCTCTCGGATGGTGGTTCGAACGGGAGCGGAAACGTGCCAGGGTTCGTAGTCTCCTCCGCGAGGGTAACACGCAGCCAATCGAAGGAATCGGAAAACTGAGAAACTCGAAACTCTCGGAACTCGGAATTCGAAAAACTCACGACAGATACCGCACCAAATAGAACCACCGACACTCTTTACTCCCCGTGTACGACGCACAGCCGCCGCTGCCCCCGCGATTCAACTCGCGGCAACAGAGAACGGAACCAATCGGAGAAAGAACCGTGTTTCTCTCGATCACTCTCTTCTCTCGGTTTCTCCACTCACTGCAGCAGAAGGTGCGAGGGCGCCGCAGTCACGTGCAGCGTGTTCCTCGTCGCAGTCGCAGTCGCAGTCGTTGTCCTCCAGCTCTGATCACGCATGTTTCCTTCGGGACGACCGGCTTCCTGACCGCGCACATTCACGAGAAACTCGGACGCGGCGTCGTGCTTGCACGCGCCTCGTCGAACCACGATTAAAACGAATCCCGAAATCGAGACGAAAGCCGTTCGCGACGAGACCACGGCGAGCGTGGCGATCGGGCCAACGGGAGAAGATTGCGGCGGATCGAGAGACGAGACAAGACGAGACGAGAGACAGAGAGGCGGCCGAACCACTCTACCTGCACGATGATCCTCCGGGTGCAACGGCGTGTGTGTCTCTCTCTCTCTCTCCCCCTCTCTCCTTTCTCTCTCACTCTGAACTAGCCGAAAAGTCACCGACCGGTACACACGCGCCGGAACGATGCGAAACCCGCAACGGTCGCCGTCACACTAACGCCGCACAGCGCCAGGACAGGTGACAGTCCCCCCCACCGATCGCGCGACCTCCCACTGCTCCGAATTTCTCGACCGTCCGCGCAGGCTCGGAGTTTACGCCGCCGGTCTGCGCCGCTTTCTCCTCTTCTTCTCCTCTACCCTTCTCTCTTCGCTCTTCGCTCTTCCCCCTTCTGTCTTCTTTCTTCGCTCTTCTTTCTTCTCTCTTCTCTCTTCTCTCGTTTGCACCGTTCCAGCCGCTGTCCTGCGAGTGTCGCGTGTGCGAGCCTACGCGCCAACGCTGCACGCACACCTAGCCTTCGCGCACGTGGACAAGAGCAAGAGGAGGCAGAGCGGCGACCGGAAAGAATAGGGTGGGCAGTCTAGGCGGAAAAAAGAAACGACGGGATCCGAGAGAGGGAGAGAGAGAGAGAGAGAGAGAGGAAAGGAGAGGTACACAGGAGACACCGGGCAAGCGCCGATTTTCAACCCCACCACCCCCGCGACACGATCACGCCGCCATCCTCGACATCCTCGACATCCTCGCCACCGCCGACGCCGTCGCCGCCGCCGTCGTCGTCGTCGTCGTCGTCGCCGTCCTCGGTATCTCGTCGACGCTACTGCAACGCCGCCAATCTGCAATCAGAAAAAAAATCGAAACTAGACTTTGGTTATTTGCTCTCGAAATGCGCCGCTGATTTCGGAAGTTGTCATTACCCTTCGGGATCCAATCGTTATACATGTATTTCGTCAAATGCTAGAGGAGCCTTGCGACTCGTTTTTATAGTTACCGATTGTCAACGATTATAAAAATATGGTACAAAGCCGGAATAATCGTATCTCCCGTTCCCGAATTGAACATTTTTCTGCATAATCCAGGCGTCAGTTAGGGAGACATTATTGTATTCGTTTACGGAGTGCTTAACGGTCTTGTCAACCGTCTTCCTATATTGCAAACATTCGATATAAATGCACTTACCGTTGGATTAAGACATCGTGAACTCCTCAAAGTTCAAAACAACGAAAAGTGGTGATTTTTTAATGTTTATACGAAATTATTTATACTGAGAAAAATATCAGTATCCTGAGACGACAAATACAAGTAAATCTTCTCGAAAGTTAGCATCCATATTTAAATATATAAATAAATATATAATAATATATATTAAATATATAAATAAATATATCGACTTAAAAGCAAAGTGAGACTTATGCCACTTTCAAAATAAACGGCCCATATCATACTGTCATCAAACTCTATTGATATTTTCGATATGTGACCGCATACGATAAAAGTACACAAAATTCTCTGCAATTGTCCCTCAGCCTGTAAACAGAAATGGACAATTTAGGAAGAGGAGATGCGATTATTCGAGCCTCGAGGCTCGTTTTTATAGTTGACTATTTATACCGAGGCTCGAATAATCGTGTCTACTCTTCCCAAATTGTCCATTCTTCTCTGCAAGTTGTGAAACAATCGGAGAGAATTTACCGCATCCTTAATTCGCATCTCATTATAACTTATACTATCTATCACAAATAGATAAGATCTCCTGAAATCTTAACGTTGATATTCCTCTTTGCACTAATGGGTTATTCCGTTCAAATAAAATAAATACGAGAAATCCAAGAAGGGTTGGCAAGTGGATCGATACGCAATTGTTCTAAGAGACATCCTCGAGTCTCTGAGACGCGATAGTCTTCTCGGTGCCCGCTTACGACTGAACTTCTGCGACCGATCGTATACTTTCTCTGTACGATATATGAACCCCTCGCACTAGAGTGATGAGTCTTGATTGAAAAAAAGCAAAAAAGCAATACATACCGCGTATCCAGTTAAATAATGATGTATATTTTATCCTAAGTACGTACACGTGTTATTTAGTGTCCATTAAATCCGTTTAAACAGAGGGTGCCCCAAAAATGTCTCACAATCCGAAAGTAGGGGATTCCTGAGGTCATTGGAAGCAACTTTTTCCTTAGCGAAAATGCAATTCGCGGCTTCGTTTACTAGTTATTAACGAAAAACAGTGACCAATCAGAGGCGAGATCATTTGGCGCGAGACGGAAGGGCCAATGAGCGGAACTGGGCTCCGTGCGCTCGTTGGCTAGCTCGCCTCGCGCCAGTCGAGCTCGCCTCTCATTGGTCAGTGTTTTTCGTTAATAACTCGTGAACAAAGTCATGGATTGCATTTTCGCTAAGGAAAAAGTTGCTTCAAATGACCTCAGGAACCCCTCATTTCCGGAGGCGTTGTTTGACCCAAACAACTGAAACAAAAAACTCAACGCACACAAAATAACTGCAGAGGAGTGACGACGCCTCTGGGCACCAAGGAAAACTATGATCGTCGAATGCTAACAAGTCCGAGGCAATGTTTACATTATCGTTCATTGCGTAGAAGCCTGTTAAAAGTGTAACTGTGTTGTACGAGTCACAAGACTCAACGCATATGCATGAAGTGCGCGAAATCATATAAAAGGGAAATATAGTAAATCAGAAAAACTGTTCTAGATTTAGAGCTAAAACGGCTTCGAATGCAAGCGGTTAAACCAAGTGATCGTTCTTCGGTATATTTCATTACGACCAAAATTCGCTTCCTTTAACCATTTTCTTCGATTAGAAGTTTTTGGATCGCAATAATTTCTTAAAAGAGAAAAAAATCGATGCTTATCGCGCGTCTAAATATATTCGAATGCTCAAAATATTGCCGACAAGAGATTAGAATTTTATTCCATTTTTAAAGGACGGAACAACGTCTATGCAGAATAAGTTATTGCTAGAAATTTCCACGACGCGTCGGACACGTCAAAGTGCGGCAAGGGGTTAAGACCCAACAGTCACCGACGGTGTCTCCTCTGTCAATTCGCGGTCTCGGGGCCGCCGTGCGCCACTGCGATTCAGTTTCCGGATCTTTCGAACTTCCGGAAACCGACTTCGTCGCGATCGATATCCTCGACCATTTGGTCGTTCCTTACCGACCGTCGTCCTGTCCCCGAAACAGATCCTGCGTGCCAGGTGACCGGGTTATCGTCGAACGATAACGATCCGGGATGATATCCGAACGTGGGAGAGCCGCGAAACTAAACGATTTAGCGGCCGTAGGCGAACAAACGTCGGCTGTTTGAATTCGTAGTTTCTTGTTCTTTTTCGGAGAAATTGCTCGGTGTTAGTTCTTGACCCAAATTTCCGTCGGAGCATTTGCGCCAGCACGAATTTCAGCACGCTTTATTTGCTCGAGGATGCTGAGAGAGCGTAATAAACGTGTGGCTAACGATCACCTCGTTACGTCGCCCCCGAGTGTATACCAAGTTTTGCGGATATTCGCGGAAAGATGGCCCCCGCGTTGAATAACATCGAAACGCCGTGTTTATTTAATAAAGGCTCGCCCATCGGCGCTGCGGGCAGAGGATGATTTCCATCGATGTTTCCGCCGCCGGGGGGAGAGGTTGAAAAAAAGGTTATCCGACGCAATCAAGCCGTGTACAAATTATTTCTGCGCGTTAGAAATTTGCCGAATTTCGCGCTCGCTTCCCCAAATTGAATAATATCGGTGTTTACCGTTACCGCAGAGGTTAAAAAACCAAGCTTCTAATAGACTGCATTAAAGGACGATTTTGGAGTGACCGAAATAAAAATGCTTAGGGAGAAAGTCGGCGTGCCGGGGAGGGGTTGAATAACGCAATCGAGCCGCGTACAAATTATTTCTGCGCGTTAGAAATTTGCCGAATTTCACGCTCGCTCCTCCAAACTGAATAATATCGGTGTTTACCGTTACCGCGGAGATTAAAAAACCAAGCTTTTAATAGACTGCATTAACACGTTGACTGCCGCGTCACCCGTATTCGGGTGACAGCAAAAGTTCTCATCAGGTCACGTCCTGTCTCTTATACACATCTAGATGTGTATAAGAGACAGGACGTGACCTGATGAGAACTTTTGCTGTCACCCGAATACGGGTGACGCGGCAGTCAACGTGTTAATGCCTGTCTCTTATACACATCTAGATGTGTATAAGAGACAGGACGTGACCTGATGAGAACTTTTGCTGTCACCCGAATACGGGTGACGCGGCAGTCAACGTGTTAATGCCTGTCTCTTATACACATCTAGATGTGTATAAGAGACAGGACGTGACCTGATGAGAACTTTTGCTGTCACCCGAATACGGGTGACGCGGCAGTCAACGTGTTAATGCCTGTCTCTTATACACATCTAGATGTGTATAAGAGACAGGACGTGACCTGATGAGAACTTTTGCTGTCACCCGAATACGGGTGACGCGGCAGTCAACGTGTTAATGCCTGTCTCTTATACACATCTAGATGTGTATAAGAGACAGGACGTGACCTGATGAGAACTTTTGCTGTCACCCGAATACGGGTGACGCGGCAGTCAACGTGTTAATGCCTGTCTCTTATACACATCTAGATGTGTATAAGAGACAGGACGTGACCTGATGAGAACTTTTGCTGTCACCCGAATACGGGTGACGCGGCAGTCAACGTGTTAATGCCTGTCTCTTATACACATCTAGATGTGTATAAGAGACAGGACGTGACCTGATGAGAACTTTTGCTGTCACCCGAATACGGGTGACGCGGCAGTCAACGTGTTAATGCCTGTCTCTTATACACATCTAGATGTGTATAAGAGACAGGACGTGACCTGATGAGAACTTTTGCTGTCACCCGAATACGGGTGACGCGGCAGTCAACGTGTTAATGCCTGTCTCTTATACACATCTAGATGTGTATAAGAGACAGGACGTGACCTGATGAGAACTTTTGCTGTCACCCGAATACGGGTGACGCGGCAGTCAACGTGTTAATGCCTGTCTCTTATACACATCTAGATGTGTATAAGAGACAGGACGTGACCTGATGAGAACTTTTGCTGTCACCCGAATACGGGTGACGCGGCAGTCAACGTGTTAATGCCTGTCTCTTATACACATCTAGATGTGTATAAGAGACAGGACGTGACCTGATGAGAACTTTTGCTGTCACCCGAATACGGGTGACGCGGCAGTCAACGTGTTAATGCCTGTCTCTTATACACATCTAGATGTGTATAAGAGACAGGACGTGACCTGATGAGAACTTTTGCTGTCACCCGAATACGGGTGACGCGGCAGTCAACGTGTTAATGCCTGTCTCTTATACACATCTAGATGTGTATAAGAGACAGGACGTGACCTGATGAGAACTTTTGCTGTCACCCGAATACGGGTGACGCGGCAGTCAACGTGTTAATGCCTGTCTCTTATACACATCTAGATGTGTATAAGAGACAGGACGTGACCTGATGAGAACTTTTGCTGTCACCCGAATACGGGTGACGCGGCAGTCAACGTGTTAATGCCTGTCTCTTATACACATCTAGATGTGTATAAGAGACAGGACGTGACCTGATGAGAACTTTTGCTGTCACCCGAATACGGGTGACGCGGCAGTCAACGTGTTAATGCCTGTCTCTTATACACATCTAGATGTGTATAAGAGACAGGACGTGACCTGATGAGAACTTTTGCTGTCACCCGAATACGGGTGACGCGGCAGTCAACGTGTTAATGCCTGTCTCTTATACACATCTAGATGTGTATAAGAGACAGGACGTGACCTGATGAGAACTTTTG